CCCAAATTCAGTTATCATCATACTCGTAGGATAATTTTCTGGAAAATGCTGCTTTTTCTCCCTATGTACCTGCAAAAGCATTTAGAGTTTGGACTTTGCTTTTTTACTTTAATATATTCAGTATAATTGCCTTTTAATATGCTCTTTTTAATTTTATGTTACAAGTACTAGTTTAGTTGCAATAAATTACAAGATCAAACGAGGAATATGTTTTACCATAGGCCACGTTTCATTTTCTACCCATGATTAGCTGCTAAAAGCTTTTATCCATGATCAGTGAAACTGGCATATATAGTATCTTCAGTTCACCGTTTTTAACTACCTGTGACATAGCAAACATGGCTTTGGATATAATCGTGGTTACATAGCGCTACAAAATCACTTCAAGTTTGTCAATTAAATTTCAAAACTCTCACTTCATTTATTACGACAGTCTTCAGCGTCACAATTTCCTTGTCATCTTTAATGAGCTTTTGAAGCCACCTTTACTTTTCACCAGGCTTAGGATGAGAAAGGGTTTCCCTGCCAAAGTTGAAGACTTCTCGTATAGGAGAATCTTTTGATTCTTATTGCTTTGAATTGGAATAACAATTAGAACTTCTGAATGCAGGAAATTATTGAGACTCGGGAAAAAACCAAGCCTCATATATGGTTTTTCCGGTCCCCAGAAGAAGCAGCACCTCATTGGAAAGAGCTCTTTGGAAATCTAGATGGGCAGGAATGATCATTTTTTATCATCGATAATAATCATGCTCATTCCATTTGCGTTTTACTTTTGTAGCAAGAAACTGACCTAGTAAACAATGTTTTTACTCGATTTAGTTCTACTCAGCATTAATGGTGCAACCAAGATAAAGGGTCGGAAACTATAGTTCTCGATTTTGAAGGATGTTATAGACTATAGATCTCTGGCATATACATATATTTTGTATAATCTTCCATTCATTTTTAAGTGAAGATTATATGATTTTAGTATCTTGTTACTATATATCTACTTGTGTTAATAGCTTGCACAATGAAGATGTGGCGATGGAATAATACCTTGGATTTTGAAAGAGCGAAGGTAATTAATTGCTAGATTGAACTTGAGTTCACACATATAGCCTTTGTTTGGTAGGGATTAAAATTAGTTTTTAGCAGATTTTAATAAAAGTTGATGAAATATGTGATTGAAAAATTGTAGGTCCTGTGAAATATGTGATTAAGATTAATTGTTGACTTTTACTTAAATTAAAATCCACCAAATAGGGCATAATAAAAATTTATTGTCTGCATCGTCAACTTGAGTTTATACATATGATGGCTGTGAAACTTGATCGATGATCTAATGGTAAGTAAAGTATCGTCATAGCTATATTTTGTTTCTAATTTATTATGTGTGATATTTTTTTTTCATATTTAGACATTTAATTTTTGTGATGCAAAATCGATGCCAAGAGTGGAAATTTCATGCGATTGACGCAAATGACTTTGTAACTTTGATAAGAAAGATTTTTTTAATTTTTTTTTTGATGTTTCGACTTAGGTTCGATTTTTATTTTTGCTTTTACTTCATATAGAAGAGTTTTTGGAAGAAGTTATCTTACTTTTTTGTTTGGAAACTAATTTTTAAAATAACTTCTTATTTCGAAAATGCTTTTAGAAGGAGTCACATTAGATCGACTTTCCTTAAAAACATTTCTAACCAGAAGAAACCCTATTTATACAATTAGTCAAATTGGTTCAAAAATAATTTTTGAATCTCAAAAGTTTCTTTTGACTTTTCAAAAATCATGTCAAACAACATTTTCTTGAAGTGCGGCACTTCAAAAGGTAGTCTGGCACAAAAACTTTATTGCCAGATTTCGAGTCACCTTCCATACAACGAGCTCTTTATCTTTATTGCGATATTGACGTCGATTGTTGTGGTTGCTAATTGGTTTAGTGAGGTGCTAGATTCATCAGGGTTGAAATCAAACTTTGTTTATAGATTGGTGGTTTTTGTTAACTTTAGTATTTAGTGGGAATTGTAGGATAATGGCACGTTTGTTTAATAGTTGGTGTTATTTACTGTATAGTCTTCAGTGCTTGCTTTAGCAATAGAAAAATTATATTATTTGGATATATTTTTTAATGTGTTCTTTTAATATTTTGTACAATAAGTGTCATTTTAATATGCTAGTTAGTGCTTGATATAAAAAATATATTATTCTATTTGGGTTTTGTTTAATTGGTTTTCTTGTTATGCTAGATTACTTGATATATGACTTTTCAATCTGATTTATGAAGTACGTAAACATTAAAGAGAGAACGCACTAGAAATTATTTGACAATACATGAAAATGCCACCAGAGACAAGACGTGAACTAATAAAGTGTGTTCTTTCTTTATTTTCACGTAATAGTAATAATAATAATTAATTAATTAATTTCAAGGCGAAAATGTGCAACGGGGATTGCGTTGGGCTATAGTCTCCACTCATTGGTTATTTTCCACCATATTTTAATTCCACTTGCGTTTCTCAAAATTTTCTCATTGTAACATTTGTGTGTCCAATTTATTCGTCTCATTTTATCCTCAATCTCCCATTAATTGACTCCTCTCGTCTTTGATAATGTTTTTCCCATGTTTTTAAAAATAATAATAAATAGAAAAGTGTGACAATGTTTTTCCCACCTTTTAAAATACAAAAATTGAATATTTCAGTACAAAACATCTTCAAGGATGAATTGTGCTAATTATGAAAATATTAAGATAAAAATTCAACGAAAAAAATTAGAGATTTAAGTGTTAAATGGGACAAGATTAAGCATCTTAAATGCAATTAAAATGATGGCGAAAAAATTTAAAAAAATGATACTAATATAACTATTGTTTTTAATTAGGGCTGGGCGTGATTTAGATCGGTTCAATTCTAACAAGAATCGAACTAGACCCGAAATTTTCAGGTATTTAGTAATTGAAACCGTCGAGTTCAAATTTAATTATAGAATCGTTCGGGTTTGGTTCCATTCAGTTCCCGGATTCTGTACTATAATAAATCTTTTTAATCTTTACAAAACTACATTAATTCAACTAATGAAATGTCCAATTTTAGCTCTTACAAAATAATGTAGATCAATCTTATGTATTTTTTGCGTCTCTCTTTACTGAGTTTTTCATAGATTTGATTGTTAAAATCATAGGAAGAGAAAGATAGTGAGCTCACATAATTAAGAGAGACGCTATCGAGTTTTAATTCGATTTTTTTAAAACGATAGAAATGACAAAATAATAGATTTGGGTAAAAATTAGATCAAATTGAATAAGTTCGGTTTGGACTAAAAATTAGAAATAGGAAAATCATATTTTTGGATTTGAGCTAAATCAACTAGTTATCAAATTTATTTACAAAAAAAATAAAATAATTTGACTTATTTAAAATAAATAAATTAAAAATTTAGAGAGATTCAATTCTCATTTGGTTCTTCGATTATTGATTTAGAACCGAGAACCAACTTGAACTGAACCCATCAATTCTCGATTCAGATTAAATTAAAGTCAATTTTATATTATTATAAGAGTCTAGGGACGAGGGGAGCAATTTCAATTATGTCCGAATTTATAGGTATCAAAAATCGCAAGTGTGCACTGTACAAGGAGCTGTTATAAATTTTATAAAAAAAAAAATTAATAATAAAATTTGAGATTTTTTTTTTCCAATCCCTTAAGTCACAGTTTGGTTCAGTTAAAAAAAATGATTAAAATCTAAATCAAAGTCAACAATTAATTTTAACCACTCATTTAATGGGATATACCAATTTTCAACCACACGTTCCATCAAATTTTATCAAAATTTACTAAGAGCTTGTTTGGTAGGGCTTAAAAGCCAATTAAAATCAAATTTTTGACCGTTATTTCGCTATTCCAATCGTCATTTTTGAATTTTTCTCTCATAGGTAAGACTCACTTTCTCTCTAACGGTCAAAAAATTAATTATCAAAATCCCTACCAAACAAGCACTAAATATCTCACTTATTTTTAAATCAAATATATATTTTTTAATATTTGTGCATGAATCAATGAGCGTTTGGTGCTTAATTTTTTACAAAAACTAAAAGGCGACTAGAAGTACATGTGGTGTTTTTTAATTTTTACATTCATTCTCTTTAAGGTGTTCTCTTTTGCGTAGTGTTTTGTACTTCTTTTTTCGGTATTCATATTTTCGCTATAAAAACATGCTACTTGCTCAACTCTCACAACACAAGTTTTTGTATTTTCACAATGGCCGCAGTGCTTCTCCGTCTCTCTTCTATGTTGATGTAATAGAAAAGAGAGAGGGTACATATATCTAAAACGAAATAAAGTGTAAAACTGAGAATATCCACTGCAGTTTCTTGATTGAACTGAATTGAGAAAAAGGGAGATCGAGAAACAAAAAATGGCCGAGGTTTCTCTCAAGAGTTTCATTCCAGAATCATTTCCGCTCTCCACGGCAGATATTACAGGCCAAATTGGGTTGCTGTGGGAACTGATCAAGGTGCCATTTGTGGTGCCACTGCTGAGAGTTGCTGTATATATGGGCTTGGTTATGTCTATGATTGTATCCGCGGAGAGGCTTTCCATGTTAATCGTTGTACTCTTTGTCAAACTGTTTATGAAAAAACCCGAAAACCGGTACAAATGGGAGCCATTGCAGGAAGATGTTGAGATTGGCGATTCAGCTTTTCCTATGGTTCTTGTCCAGATCCCCATGTACAATGAAAAAGAGGTCTTTTTGTTTCGAATTAATCTAATTGTACAAAGTTTTTTTACAAAATAACAAAATTTAGACAATTGATTTTCATTGATTTAAAAAACTATTTTTGAAATAGTTGATTTAAATGTTGTTAACACGTAGTTTGTAAACTAAGTTTGTCAACCAAATTTGTACAAATAACATGATTTTTCCATTTCAGAGTATATACAATTTGGAGCCCTGCATTAACATACTTGTCAAACTCTTTTTTCTACCTATTCATTTTCAATCACATATTCTCGTAATAAAATATTCTACATGTAAACCCAAAACTTTTCCCACTTTTTAACAACACACTCTCTTAAAAATCACTATTCAAAACTCTTTTTTTCAAAAGTATGGTTGCCAAACAAGGTGGGGTGTGAGAAAAAGGCTGATGTTTGTTTTGTTTTTTTTAAAAGGTTTACAAGATCTCCATTGGTGCAGCATGTAATCTTTCATGGCCTGCTGATCGTTTACTGATTCAAGTACTTGATGATTCTTCTGATCCTGACATCAAGGTAAACATTAGAAATTTACCACTTACTTCTTCGCATAAAGACGAAATTCAAATCCCACTTCGAAATTGTTAAGTTTTATACCAAGAAATTTTTATCTTTTCTTTCAGAAATATATAGCACATGCATGCAGTAGCAAAACTCTTAAACAAACACTATCCCTTAAGATTTGAGGTTCCATCTTAAGAGGAGTAGTTCAAAGTGACCAATCTTAGAATTCGTATGCTCATTTATTGAGTCTTAATCGGATCGAATAACTCGTTGAGGTTTAATGAGCTCTGATACCATGTTAAGACTTAGGATTGTTCAACCCTGTTAAGAAGAATAGCTCAAAACCTTAAAAATTGATCTATGTTTTCATCTTTATTCGATGTGGAATTTTATCCCTTAACACTATCTTGGTTCACACAAGCGGTTCATATCTCGAAGATTAGAGCTAGCAGTATTAATCTCAGTTTCTCTTTAGTGTTAATTGATCAAATTTCTCGAATTGGCTCGAACAAGTTCAAATCTATTTATGTGTTACTTTATTTAGCTTTGCTAACCAAAAAATATAAGGGTATTTTTCAAAACCGCATCTGTTTTCATTCGTAGTGTTTAATTTTAGTATTTGAGAATATCCGACCTTAATACATAATCACAAAATTACGTTATCGATTTAAATTTTTTTTTTTTCCTTCTCTTGGTTTTATCGCAGGATATGATTGAGAAAGAATGCATTAGGAGGGAAAATAAAGGCGTTAACATTAGGTACCAAACTAGAGAAACAAGAAGAGGATACAAGGCAGGAAATCTTAAAGAAGGTATGAAACATGATTATATTAAAGAGTGTGAATACGTCGCCATTTTCGATGCTGATTTCCGACCTGAACCGGATTTTCTCCGACGATCCATCCCTTTTCTCATGCATAACCCGGAACTTGCCCTTGCACAAGCTCGTTGGAAGTTTGGTAAGCCTCACAGTCCAAAGAACAATTAATTCCCGCAAAAAGGCATTAAAGAAAGTATATTGATGCATGAAAAACGAAAGGAAATAAAACAAAGTCGGGTTTCCTTTTCATGACTGTTTTAAGTAAATTTTGGAATCCTAATGAAATTTTTTAATATTTTGTTGGTTTTGCAGTGAACTCAGATGAATGTTTGTCGACAAGAATGCAAGAAATGTCGTTGGATTACCACTTTACAGTCGAGCAGGAAGTGGGATCATCTACTCATGCCTTCTTTGGCTTTAATGGTAAGCTTATGCAATTAATTAGCAAAAGTAATTAACCAATTGATTATATAAACTTATCAATAAAGATACTTCAGCTACAATGTAGTTTATGTTGGGTCATATTCAAGAAGTGAGGTTTTCTCTCACACTTATAGACTAAATATCAACCCCATTCATGACCGATGTGAGACACCCTCAACAAACTCCCCCTCACACATCGGGCTATGCGGGAAACCAAACACATCTCCTTCCACACATCGAACCCTGCAGGAGATCGAACCCGTCTCCCCCTCACACAAAGGGCCTACGGGAGACCGAACCCGTCTCTCCCTCACATAAACCCGTATCTCCGTGATTGTTGGTCCTGAGACGATTGTTGGGCCGAAGATTTGTTGATAAACCAGGCTCTGATACCAGTGTTGGATGGTATTAGTCCTCTCTCACTTCAAAAGTTAGCTGAAGAAATGAGGCTTCCCTTCACTCTTATAAACTGAATACCAATCCGATCTACAATCGATGCGAGATGACCTCAACAGTTTATATGAATGTGTACAACTCCATTATACATTAAAACTTCAATTCTGCTAACAAGAAAAGTGCCTAGTGGATCAGATTAAACAACAACAATAAATTTGGAATTGGTTACGTAGAAAAGTTTTTCGCTTTTATGTTTGCTTCACTGTCAATATGTTAAATTCTTGAATGAAAACAATATGAAAGGCTTTATCATTGAAGCAAGAAACAATATTGAATTGAACTCCATAAAAGGAGGAATGGAATACAAATGGAACTGGACTAAGTTTCATATAAAAGACACTCCATTGTAGGAGGAGAAGAAACCTCCATGGAAGGAGGGATTGGAGAGAACTACAATCCAATTAATTAAAATAAGTACAAAGTCTGGTACTTATAGAGAAAATGAGTAACTAAACTACCAACTAATTAACAGTTGTAGAAAGAATCTGGGAGTTGGAGACAGCTGGGAGAATCCGTGTGGAAGGCTGGAAATTTAATCTGACCCATTGGAATCTCTGGAATCTGGTTGAGTTGGAAGAGAACCTTCTGGATTGATCTGGTGTAGCTTGGTTGATGTTGATCACATATTCTAACTCACCTCCCTCAAGATGGACTAGGAAGATCAATTACTATAGTCCATCTTGAAGATTAAAGATGACAAGAATTCTAATATAGATCAATTGGAATAAGATCCTGAATTCATAATGTTGTTGCCAGCACTCTAGACCCAAAAATAATAAAGATGAGCTTTGTTGGACATTCTATCAAACATCTTGTGTGCAGCTTCACTTACTAAAGAGTAGAGTGAAAAAGGATGCAGTAAAGACTCCACAAGAAATGTCTTCGTTGATGTAGCAGGACAACCGAACAAAGCAGCACAAAAGTTAAACATATTAAAACTGAGTTATGTGATAGAAGTAAGGGGAATTCCTCCAACGATGGGAACAAGAGAAGCCCAAAATCAGGGCATGAAACTAGGTAAAGTAGGTTGTTTTATCTCCGACGATGCCCGCGACATGCTTCAACGAGCACTCGATGAAGTGAATACCCAATTGCATACCAAGTTCAGCTAGGAACCAGAATCCATAGACTGGGAGTATTACAGAAAATGGATTGGCTTTTGCTTGCTTGATACGTATAACCAATCATATGATGAAATCTTGAAGATTGAAAAACAAAGAAAAGGGAATTGAATCCCTCTAGACCAACAGAGGCTAATTTCTGCTAGGAAACAACTTGAGAGTGGCCGGATTTGCAGCCATGGATGGAAGCACATCAGTAGAATCTTGAAGAACTGGAATGCAATCCGTACGTCCAGTTGTTTACAAGAATAAGAACTGAAGAATCTTCAGAAAACCAAGAATGATTCCAGTAGAAATCTGGAAAATGAAAACAGCAGCAAAAAGCTTATCTTTGCTCGATACCATGTTAAATTCTTGAATGAAAACAATATGAAAGGCTTCATCATTGAAGCAAGAAACAATATTGAATTGAACTCCATAAAAGGAGGAAAGGAATACAGATGGAACTGGACTAAGTTCCATATAAAAGACACTCCATTGTAGGAGGAGAAGAAACCTCCATGGAAGGAGGGATTGGAGAGAAACTACAACCCAATTAATTAAAATGAGTACAAAGTTTGGTACTTATAGAGAAAATGAGTAACTAAACTAACTAACTAAACTACCAACTAATTAACAGCTGTAGAAAGAATCTGGGAGCTGGATATAGTTGGGAGAATCCGTGTGGAAGGTTGGAGATTTAATCTGATCCATTGGAATCTCTGGAATCTGGTTGAGTTGGAAGAGAACCTTTTGGATTGATCTGGTGCAGCTTGGTTGATGTTGATCACATATTCTAACACAATACAGATTAGTTTTATTAATCATTCTAAGTTATTGGAATTCTAAAATTTTACACTGTAATTTGTAGTTATTAATAAGATGAATGTTATACGATTTCAGGAACCGGTGGTGTATGGAGAATAGCAGCAATCAATGAGGCAGGAGGGTGGAAAGATAGAACAACAGTTGAGGACATGGATCTGGCTGTTAGAGCTAGTCTCAAGGGATGGAAATTTCTATATCTTGGGGACCTCCAGGTACTAAATCAAATTATATGTCGTGTCAAGTCTTTTTTTGGGAGCAATGCTTAATGTACAAGAAAAGTTTACAGGGATGTGACATGGCAACATTTCTTTGGATTTTGGGCCAAAAAACGTAGCTAAAATAGCCAATTAGGCTACTATCTCAGCACTTGTTAAACACCCTGTGAATTTCCCTTGTACAAGAATCATTTCTACTTTTTTGGTAAGCAAAGTTCAATGCTACCGGAAAGTATAATATCAAGATTTTTTTGGCAAACACCTGCCATAGTTTAAGGTATTTCACATTAATTAGGTGAAAAGTGAGCTTCCTAGTACGTTTAAAGCCTACCGTTCGCAGCAGCACCGATGGTCTTGTGGTCCTGCCAATTTATTCAGAAAAATGGCTATCGATATTGTTAGGAATAAGGTTTGTTTATAACCTTATAATCTGTCTAGGAAGCTGATTTAATTGTACAAGAATGAAGAACCTAAAATCTCTTGTTTTCTGATTTGGCAGAAAGTGTCTTTGTGGAAGAAGGTATATGTGATCTACAACTTCTTCTTTGTAAGGAGGATCATGGTTCACATGTTCAATTTCTTCTTTTACAATGTTATATTCCCATTAACAGTTTTTGTTCCTGAAGTTGATGTTCCAAAATGGGGAACAATTTATATTCCTTTCATTCTCACGACATTAAGCTCCTTCGGAACTCCAAGGTCGGGTATTTGTACGTACTTACGACAACTGCACATTTGCGTTACAAAAATTGGGGTATAGTTACCTAATGAATATTTATGATTTTTCAGGTCATTCCATTTATTGTTTTATTGGATCCTATTTGAGAATGTGATGGCTTTTCATCGAACCAAGGCGACAATCATCGGTCTACTAGAGGGCAAGAGAGCTAATGAATGGGTTGTTACAAAAAAACTTGGTGATGCTTTCAAGAACAAATCAAATACCGAATCAGAAGCACAAGGAGAATCACCAGCAAAGAGGGTTCGTTTTAAACTTGGAGATGGGTAATTTATCACTCTCTTACTTTTAGCATTATAGCTTAGAACACCATATTGACAATGTAATTTACGAGTAATTTTTTATGTGTGTTACTTATCGATCATATCTGTCTATATATGTATGTGTGTGTGGCAATTTGGTCACAAGACTAGTGACATTCTCCATGTTTGGATGATGATGTAAACTAATGTGTCCTAAACATTTTGCAGAATATTACTACACGAGCTGGAATTGGCCATGTTTCTATATGTATGTGGATTCTACGACTTCCTTTATGGAAGGAACAACTATTTTATATACATGTTTCTTCAAGCCATCGCCTTCACAATTGTGGGATTTGGTTATGTTGGAACAATAATCCCTATGTAGCACTCAATCTATCAACTA